GCAATTTCCCCCCCCCCCCCCCAAAAAAAAACCCCAACAAAAACAACAACAACAACAACAAAACAATCCAACAAACAACAACAATAAGCAACAAAAACAAATCAAAACAAACAAGACAAAACAAAGTAAAAACAAAATTTAAAAACCCACAGAACAAACCAAAAAACTACTCCCAAAACCAAAACACGCAGCAACAACAACAATTAACCCCTCAATATAAACAAACAAAGAAAAGTAAAACATGTCCTTGAAACAAGTTTTTAAAAAAACAACACCCAAACAAACTAAATACTCTTTTGCTATATATAAAAATGTTTAGTCGCTACACAATATGACCATCCTGACCCACAGTAAGGTACGTTAATCTCTTCTTTTGTTTTGTTTTTGTAAGTGTTTTACGGTGGTCACAACTGCATAAGATCATAAATAATATGAGCGCGCGTGACACATTTAACTTTTCAATTGATAGGAAATTTTGAATTTTGCCTGCATGGCGGCTGAAGCCTCCTGTTATCGATTTTGGACCAGCAAGGGATCTTTAAAGTACACAACATGCACAAGGGACCTCCGAGATTTTTCGCCTTCGCCCGAGAAGGCTAGGTGTAGATTTTTCCTACCAGAAGATCAGGGATGTGCCTGAAAGACCACAGTAAGAACAAGCCAAGGAGTAGCAGTAGGAAGGCTGCAGAAAGAGTTAGGAGCCCAGAGGAGGGGGCAAAGGATGTGAGGGGGAGGGGGCAGAATGTGGAGGCAAAAGCAGACGACAAAACATTGGTAGAGAGCAGGAAAGGATGTGAAAGGAGACAATTTTAGAGAAGAAAATGTTTCCGTCGCTATCCGGATTCGAACCCGGGATCTTTGAATTAGAGGCAAACACCTTAACCTCTAGGCCACGAGAGCCCCGTCCGTAAATCTTGGCGGACGTCACAACTGCGCAATGCCTCACCCTGCAGCAAGACAAAGAGAGAAAAAAACAAAGCAGGTTTAAGGCAAACGGTGAATCACTAGGCTGCAGCAGCAAACTGAAGTCCCAAGGGATTTCCATTCGCTATCCTTTTGAATCATCATGGGAGGTAGCACCGATACGGGGCCTCATTTACATGAAAAAAACTCCTGCTCAAGTAATACACGTGAGCGCAGAGAGATTTATGGGCCTCGCGCTGATTGCAGACAAATGGCAATTATAAAGGGTAACGCACGTTTCTTTTAGGACTTAAAGGACTCGGTGATGATTTGAAATAACCCAATGCAAAAATTTAGACGAAATCCATTAAGAAACAAGTATGAGAATTTGAATTAGAATTGAAAGAAAACGAATATTAATTTTCGAGTAATCGCTATTCCACACCCTCTTAAAAAATAACCAGGGGGAAGTATTTGCCCACCTGCTTTGACTCACATCCAGTAGCACCATGGACAGATTGCGTTTACATCACATGGTTGATGGATCCAGCAGACATCACCTTTTTTTTTGGGGGGGGGGGGGG